GCTTAAATTTTAAAACATGAATGCATTCAGTGATAGCTTTATTTTGCAGAGTACAAAGAAACACAAGGGAGCTTCTAAATGTTGGCTCTCATTATACTTCCAATTATTTCAATTATTTCAGATTATGCATAAGGCAATTTCCCCTCTGACAAAATGCTGGATAAAGACGTCCATGGGAATCCAAATAGCAGTAGTCTTTGTACATATGGTAAATTATGTTCTTGGGGGGAACAAAAGCTGGGAGTTAGGTGATGTAATACGAACTGGATTTTCTTGTGGAGACACTATTATAACAAAAGCTTGCATGACTAAACCTAGTCCCAAATTTATTTATAAGTGACTACAAACATTTCATTTAATCAACTCTTCTGCATTATTTAAAACACAATTCCAAAAAAACAAAATAATAAAACTATGCCTATTATGATTCCTGCTTGATTTTATGACAAAAATCAGAGGATGAAGAAATGGCACCATCAGAATCATAGAAAGAACAAATCTTTCTTCGGGTAAATGTAAAATGTCCGTCTAGCCCACAAACCAATGAACTCTTTCTTAAGGACTTTCTTACTTCATAGGAGTAAGTAGCTTTTCAATAGACACGTCTGTCCTGCATTACCCTGGGCCCTAATCACATATGGTAGAGATAAACCATGACCTAACAGAATTGTCTATCTCATCATGGTACTAAGACTTTTGGGAGGAAAAGGTTACTTAACTGATTTTTTTTTAAATGTCATTTTTGCTAAGCTTCTTTATAATTAAAGACCTAGATATGAGCTTTCTATAACTAACAAGCAGAAGATTTCTGATTTTCTTAAGATTCCAGCTCCTCAACACCACCAGCTATACTTTGAACCTTAATGTTAAGGCATGGGTGTCTTTAAAAGGAAGATAACCAATACTCGTTTCTTCAGCATTTTCCATCCATCCTTCCATCCCTCAGCATGTGAATTCACACCACCACCAAGTTTCAAAGCTTTGAAATAAATGGTGGCCAAACTAAAAAACAATTAATTATTGTGTATATATTAAAACTTCCCACCTCCACCTAAAGTCTTATATGTCATCTTACATACGGTAGTAAGTGAACTACAATCAGTGTGATGACTTCTTGATTTGTATCCCTGCTGCCTCCTGGCACTCACTCTCATTTGGAGTCTGGCTGCCCTCTAACACCTCTCTCCACTAGTTGGTACCAGTATGGTCCCTTCTTAGGGCTCAAAGGATAAGCCCTGGTCCCACTTTGTGTGGAACATTTTTATTTTAATTTTTTGGTATGCTATCCAATAATTTAAAACTTTTTATTTTGAAATAATTTTAGACTTAGAGAAAAGTTGCAAAAAAAGTACAGAGCATTCTCATATGTCCCTCACCCAGTTTCCCCTAACAGTGACATCTTACATAACCACAGGACAATTATTAAAACCAGGAAATTAACATGTGTACAATATTTACTAAGTGAATGACAGCACCTTACTCAAATTTCACGAGTTTTTCCAATATCACTTTTCATTTGTTACATTTAGATCTCTAAATCCATTTGGAGTTTATTCTTATGTATGGTGTATTCTTACCTTTTCCCAAATAGGAACCCAATAGTTCATAGCAGCATTATTCGTAATAGCCCCGAAATAGAAACAACCAAATATCCATTAACTGATGAATAAATAAAATGTGGTAAATCCATATAATGGAATATTATTCAACAATAAAAGGGAATGAAGCATTATACATGCTACAACATACATGAACTTTCAAAACATTATGCTAAGTGAAAGAAGCCAGTCAGAAAAGACCATGTTGTCATCGTTTTTTTAAAACTCTGTAATTTCAATTCATATGTCCCCTTTCCCCCAGGAGTTGTTTAATAAGAGAATTTGAAAATATCCAGGTATAAAGGCCTTTCTCTTTTTTGTTTCTTGTTAGTAAACTGACTTTCAGCATTAAAAAAGTGCCCTTCTTTGTCAGGTTTAATACTCTGGGGCTTACATTCTACGTTGTGTGATAACCGGGATCATGACCACATCTCTCTTTTTCTTTCTATTTACACAGTACACTTTTGTCCATCTTTTATTTTTGGAATATCTGAATCACTGTTTTAGGTATAACAGTCTCTGTTATAGAACAGACACTTGGGTTTTATATTGTGAACCAAATTGTAAATCTTTTTCTTTTAATTGATAAATTAAGCTCATTCACATTTATTGTTATGCCTGATATGTTCAGTCACAAATCTATCATTATACCTTATAACCATGAATTTAAAAAATTTATTTCCTATGTTTCTTTCCCTACAAGATGTATATATTGATATTTAGGAAAGTTTCTTATTTTTGTTCTAGGGGTTACCTTTGTAATTATACTGTTAAAGTGTCCTTCATTTAACTATATTTACCATCTGGTTTAGCAGGGGTTTTTGTGTGTGCGGGGTGGGGGGGGGGGTATTCTTTATCAGTCACCTATTGCCTATAACAATGAGCTTTCCCTATTTTCACTTTTCCCTCTTCCTTCTCTTCCCATCTTTTTGTTAGATTATTTCTACTTTGTCACAGGTATATAACACTTGTGCCTTAGTCTTCTACCATCATGCCCTCATTGTTCTAGTCTTATATGTACATTTATATACTTTTAAAGGCTGTGATCAGTGTCAGTCCTATGCTGAAGTTTTCTCAGTCACAACTCAGGAATCCTCTAGTAAACGGGTCAACACACTTTTTCTGTAAAAGACCAGATAGTAAAGATATTAGGCTTTGTGGGCCATATGGTCCCTGTTGTAATTACTCAACCCTGCCAGTGTATCAAGACAGCAGCCACAGAAAATACATAAACAATTGACCATAGCTGTGTTCCAATAAAACTTTATTTACAAAAACAAGTGGCAGGCCATAGTTTGCTGACCCCAGCTCTAATGCATTCCTCAAGAAGGGTTGATAAGTGCAGGATTCTCTTAATTTTTGTATGGTCAAAACTGTTCCAGTATTGTCTTGATATCTGCAGGACAGCTTGGCTGGATATAAATCTCTGATTCACATTTTCTTTTATTGAGAGTCTGTTTTTTTCTTAAAATGCTGCTCCACTGTTGCCTTGATTTGTTGGTTTTTAAGTATGATGCTAGTATAATTATTTTGCCCTTGTAAGTTATTTGATCTTTTGGCCTAGAGGACTTAAGGATTTTTCCTTTGTCTTTGGAATCTAACCATTTTAGTATGATACGTCTTAAAGTTGATCATTCTGGGTTAATTTGCCCAGGTACCCAGTGAACCCTCTCAATGTGCAGACTCAGATCTTTTTCTATTTGTAAGAAGTTTTCATAGGTGTGTGGATTCAGATTTTTTCTATTTCTGGAATTTTTTTTTAATTATAGTTTTAGATATTAGCTCTGTACTATATTTTTGTTTTGCTTTCAGGGACTCTGATAATTTTTTTTAAATGATCCTTTCTTTGCTTTTTTCATTCCCAACACTTTCTCTTGGACCCAAGGGTGGCAGAATATGCCACTTTGGCATAAAGATTATTTTGAGATAAAGGCACCTGAAAACAGCAAAAGCAAGAAAAATACTCTGACTTTCCTTCTTTTTCTTAAAAGCAGATGAAATTCCCAGGAAAGACGTCCTCCCTGAACCAGAAGGAGAGTAACATTCTCATCACCAAGGACAAGAAGTTGATACCAAAAGAATTCTATACAAACAGACATTAAAATAATTACCTTCCTTTTGCCTCTTTACATAGTTTAGTTACTTTTCCACAATTGCCTCTCTTTGTTCAACCTACTATAAAAGCATGTGGGTTCACCATTTCTTTGGGTCTCCATTCCTTATGAGGGCTCCTACGTCACGTAAAACTTATATAAATTTGTATGCTTTTCTCCTATTAATCTGTCTTATGTCAGTTTAACTCTCAGGGCCAGCTGAAAACCCTAAGCGAGTACAGGTAAAACTTTGCCTCCCCTTCAGACATTTTTTTACTTCTTTCTTTATGTCATTTTCATTTTCTTGGTTATTTTCCTCTTTATTCAAACCCCTTATTAAATTCTCACTAGAGTCTATTTTCACTTGGGCACTTTTTAATTTATTTTTCATTTCTAAGATAATTTTATCTTTTCTTCCATTTCTTTCCTGAGTTAAATCAACTCCTTTTTTATCTATCCTGGGTTTTGTCCATCTTGTACTTCTGATTCAAGGTGATTTTCCATATCCTAAAATGCTTGTTTGAGTGTCCCTAATTCTGTTTGGAGTGTGAACTTAACACTTTTCTTTTGCTTCAATGGGAGAATTTTCCTCAATTGATGTTTGCGATTTTTTGTTTTCTGGTTTTCTGCAAAATTTCTCTACTGATTTGATTTTCCTTTTGTTCATTTTTATGATATTTGAGTATTTCATAAAATTCCTATTTTAAAAGGTGTCCTCTGTCAGTCTAGCAAATTCCAAGGGCTTTAATGGATTTCTCTGCTAGTGTGTTTCTTTTAGTGGTGGCAAAGGAGTGTGATTCTCTGATTGTGTGATTCTTTTTTTCTTACAGAACCCTAACCCTCCCCCTTTTCTTCTTTTCTCCTTCATCTTCTAATTGCTAAAAAGCACTTCTTTTCTTTCTGCTTCTTTTCTCCTCTAGAAGCTACACTTTTGGAAGACTGCCCCATTAAGTGGTACCTACCCTTTTAAATCGTGCTTACTGCTTTAAATTGTGTCTGTCTCTTTAAACGGTGCACCTGGTCCTGTATGGCATCTGACCCTTTAAATCACATGGACTTTAAAATCCCTTCCCTATACTTCATGCTCTGATCTGCTTGGACATTTTTCTAGCATTTTAAAATTTATGCTAAATTTAATCTTTCTAGTTGCCGTTCCAGATCACCCCTAGCACCTTGGCTAGCCTCTCCTGTCTTCTCTGCAGTTTTTCTTAGTCTCCTTTGGCTCATTAAAAGCCTTGTGGCAGAGTGGATATGGGCAGAATAAGGAATTTAGTGCGGGGACTTACTGATTTTTTTTCTATTTACTTACAGTTATTTTGCAGTTTTGGCATTCTCTGTCCCCAAGTAACGCCTAAGGTGTGGCTTCGTGTAGAATTTTCATAACTGGGAAGTTGTTTCCTTCTGTTTTCAGTTTGGGAGACTGATTACTACGTAGCTGCCTTGTTTGTTACCTCGAAACGTGTTGGGTGCATTTTTAGACTCCAGCTGTGTATCAGAAGAAGGAGAAAGAGAAGGATCCACATTTTTCAATTTAAAACAAAAAGGCCCATTAAAGGAGAAAAGCAGGGCTTTAGCTGACTGCCGCCAAGACTGCGGCTATATGAGAAGAGAAAACCTTTCATTTTGTGTATCCAGGGTCAACTCAGGCTGTGACTTCTCTCATTGATTCTCAGCACCGGATGCTACACAGTTTTGGGTTTTGGGGGGAGGGAGGGGAGGACACAAAATGGTTTACAAACTGGTCAAAAGCATCATCTTCACAGTGAGACCCTCAAAGCCTTCAACACAGTAGAATGAAAGTAGCAATCAACTGAAAGAGAAAATTCAATAGACTCTTGCATACCCAGGGCAAGTTCAGTTTAAACAGATTTTTTAAAGCACCTAAATACCAGATGGCAGGTTATGTTCTGGATACTGACACTGGGTTACAAAGAAACAAAAGAGTTAAGAAAAACTGAAAAATCCAGTGAATGGTTGAGCTAGCTATACTGTCATTAAATACAATTTCCTTTCCATTTTACGCAACTCTAAAAGTAAAAACAAAGCCACGATCCATTTGCCACTAAAAATTACTCTGCAATTTGTGACCTGAACCGCTGACTACATTTAGCAGAAAACTAAAAACCTGGGGATGTTTAATTCTATTATGACCTAAGTGTTTCATTCCCTCACTATACCACTTACCCATTCCAAACAAATTTGACTCCAAAGATAGAGAGTAGTGGTAAAACATGACACCAATTACATTAATTATAAAAACGACCACATCTTGCCTTTATTATTTACACAGTGCTTTCAGACAGGAGGGGTAGTTGTTATTCTCCTCCTATAGATGTGAAAACCCAGGTTAAATCATAGAGAGCCAAAGATGACACTAAAAGTCCTTACCTTGAATTCCTCAAATATAAGGCAATGACAGATAAAACATAAAATAATAAAATTCCAAATCAGAGCTGCACTCAACAAACAAGCTAAGCATTTCCTTGGACCAGGAACACAAAGTGGGGAGGCAGAGCTGAAGCCGCGGTCCTGATGGGGCTGATGCCAAGGTCAGGCTCCGGGGCAGAGTAACGTTCATGAAAGGAGACCCAAGAAACTTTGCTGCTGACACCCGCTGGGGGTTCCAACTTACATGGAACTCCACACCCATAGAAATGGCGAGAAGCCAAGGTGCCTGCAGGTTTAGCGAGTGATCAGCAGAGAGCCCCAATATTACCACAGAGACCCACCATTCTGGACTCCGTGGGCTGAAGTAGCTGTGAAGCTCCCAGGGAGCCAGGGAAAGCTGAGGAGAGCACTAAGGAGGAGAAAAGAGAACCTGCGCAAGGTGAGCTTGCAAACCAAAAGTCTAATACACAGAAAGAAACTGAACCCTAAATTAGACAGCCACAACATTAACAACTAGAAGATTAAGCAACTCCAGACACAATTAAAATAACAGAACAAATGAAAAAGGCTTAAAAGCAGGTATGTTTACTATCCTCAGGAAGATTTTTAAAACTTGATATCTTTTAGAGAGAGCAGATTTGCGGTTGCCAGAGGCATGGGGTAGGAAGTAGGCAAAATGGGTGAAGGGGGTCAAAAGGTACAAACTTCCAGTTATAAAATAAACTAGTTATGGGGATGTGATGCACAGCATGGTGACTATAGTTAACAACACTGTATGGCATATTTGAAAGTTACTGAGAGTAGATCTTAAAAGTCCTCATCACAAGAAAAAAATAATTTGTAACTATGTATGGTGATAGATGTTAACTGGACTTATTGTGGTGATCATTTTACAATATATACAAATCTTGAATCATTATGTTGTACCCCTGAAACTAATATGTTAATTACACCTCAATTAAAAAAAACTTATCTTAGAAATAAAAAATATATCCATTGAATAAAACTCAATAGTGGGGATAAACACCAAAATGAGTGAACTGGAAAATCTAGTGCTGAGGAGTTTATTCTGAATGTGCATGCACGTGCACATGCACGCACACACACACACACACATATGAAAGGACATTTAAGAGACAAAGACAAGGGATTAAAAGACAAAATGGATTGAAAGCACAAAAACTGATTGCATGTATGTAATGAATGTTAAAATATTTAAAATTCATAATTAATATGTTTGTTTTTAACTGAAACAAACAAAAACAGTAGACAATAGTGGGTGGGTGCTGGGCGAGGGAATGAATGCGTGTAATGGGTAGTTAAAATACGGCAAGGTTCTTGCCTGTTTGGAAAAGATGAAAGATACTGAACAGTTTTGTTTTTACTAGAAAGCTTTATATTTTATCTATTTAAAAATTTTATGAGTAACCTCTAGAAAGAAGAAAACTGTAAGCTACTGCTTCCAAGCATGCAAAGGAATTTTTTTTTAAAAAAAGGATGAAATAACTGTTGAGGCAACAGAGGACAAGAAATAAGAAAAAAAGAAAAGATAAAGTAGCACAACCGAAAACATACACTCCACACACCCCCCGACATACACAAAGGTGGTAAACATAAATCCAACTATATTATTAATCACAATAATGTAAGCAGATTTGACTCACCCACTTAAAATAAAAATACAAAAAACCACGTCTTCCGTTTTCAGTGCTCTGATTTCTACTAAAAACATTACCATATTTGAGGAACTTGACACTGAAAAGCAGCTGACGGTTCAAATGGACGACGTCTCTAATGTTTATTGCCTTTACAACTGGTTTTCAAGCTGAAGTTAAATGAGAAGGAAACAATATTTAAGACCAGCAGGAAGAGTCAGCACCATTGAGACTACGGATAAATGTAGTTGTTTATAAAGAACTGCATTCAGCTCTAGAGAGACCAGAAAAGGCACCAGCACCTGAATATGACTTGGTTAATTCTTTACTTCGATTTAGTCTGTGTTCTGTTATTACAGCTTCAGACAGTACACCAGACATCCTCTTGTCTGCTGCAGATTAATCAAACTGCCTTAACTTCCTGAAGCTGACTGCTGACCCTAACTGCATGCAGCCCTGGTTGAAGCTACAGAAATACTTGCCCTGGGGCCGGCCCTGTGGCTGAGTGGTTAAGTTCACGCGCTCCACTACGGCGGCCCAGGGTTTCTCTGGTTCGGATCCTGGGCACAGACATGGCACTGCTCGTCAGGCCACGTTGAGGTGGCATCCCACGTACTACAACTAGAAGGACCCACAACTATAATATACAACTATATACTGGGGTGATTTGGGGAGAAAAAGCAGAAAGGAAAACAAAACAAAAAAAGATTAGCAACAGTTGTTAGCTCAGGTGCCAATCTTTAAAAAAAAAAGAAATACTTTCCCTGGGGCCCCCACATCATCACTCCTCTGCCACCATTCCCAACTTCTAACCTAAAAGAAAGTTCATCTCTAAGGGGACGCCAGCCTTAGATTGGATGCTAGCCTTTCTTCTTCAGGCTTCCTTACTCCACAAGCTCTCAGGCTGTTGGGAATCCTTCAACTGCTGACACTTCGAATCAGTGGATTTGGGGGCTGGAGGAATGAGAAAGCCGAAATCTAGGCAGGTAAGTGACTTGTGCCCAGTCACACTGATTGCAGGTATCAGAGCAGCCAAGACCAGAACCCAGACCCACCTCTCACCTCCAGATCAGGGCTTCTCCCCGCTATGTCACATATCAGGTCCAAGAGAGTGAGGATGAAAGGATAATAAATAAAATAACTTCCTTCTTGTTCCTCACAATTCCTTTGGCCTAGTCCCCGAACACCTTTTCTGTTCCAAATTGTCTCACTTTGCTGAAGCGATTAGTCATTACTAGAGGGCTCATGAGAGGCTCTCAGTTGAAGCTTAGAAGTTTCGCCTTCCAGTTCATCATTCCCTTGCAAGCTGGCATCCATCCAGGCTGCTGTTTCCCCCTCCAGCCAGAAAAGCTCCTTCAAACAAGACAGTGGTTTCCTCCAAGGAAGAAGCAAGTTCAGTCATTTCAATCTTGATCCCACTTGGTTTCTAAAAGCAGACATGTACCTGTAGCCTCCTTTCCCAGGAAGCAAGACCCACCACCAGGAAGCCTCTTGACTACAGATAGCCATGCTCAGCATGTGGGGAAGAACCAAGTCCCCTCGTCCATAGCTCCAGGCAAGGGGAGAGGCTCACACTTGAGAAAACTTTCTTGGAGTAGCCATCCTGACAAAATAAATGCAAATGCAAAACCACTGGAAAATTCCTAAGCCACAAAGGTTTCAGCGTGGATCAGGACCTACAGTCAGACACCAAGGGGAAAACCAAAAGTAGAAACGGCTCGAGGGAGGGCAGAGAAGACGGAAGCAGAGAACTCACGGGCCGTCCAGAGAACATTCCACGTTTCTTCCTCCTCTTCTTCTCTGACATGCAGCCTACCTGGCAGTATCTTCCCTTTGCTTGCCTCCACATGAGGGAGCGACTGATGTCTCAGGCAGGAAGAGCCAAGGGCCAGAGAGCACCCTAACCCCTCATTCCTGACACTTCTTTGTGGCTGGTGGGAAGGTCTTGTGACATAGACTCCATTCTCTTGGAGAGCAAAAGGAAAAAAAAAATCCCTGCATAATGTGGCTTGATCTATGCTTTTCTTCAGTTCAACACTTTCAAGATGTTCAAAAGAAATAAGAACCTAGTCCCTTTAAAGAATAAAGTTATATTATTCAACTTGGGTGAATCAATTAAGAACAGCTTGGAACAGACAAAATGACTCTGTGTGCATCTACTTTAAAGGCAACTTCATAATTTAACCCAACCCCCTCATCGCACAGACAAAGAAACTGGGACCCACAGAGGTTACCTGACTAGATGAGGGTAACGAGCAGTTGGTGGCAGATCTAAGACTAGACCTTGAGTGTCCTACCACAGGGTGAGTGACTGTCCCACCACACCACCCTTGCCATGAGAAGGGGAGAGGCTGCCCAGCCCTGGGGGAGGAGGAAGTCCAGAGACTGGGAGACACCAAATGCTGGGGTCCACACTAAATGGCAGAAAGACAAGTTACAGAG